GTAGCCCCAGTAGTGCTACCTGTCAGTGTCCATCAATGCCAGCTGTCAGTGCTCATCAGTGCCACTTGCCAGTGCCCATCAGTGCCTTATCAATGCCACATATCAGTGCCTACCAGTGCACTTCAATGCCACATATCAGTGCCCATCTGAGCTGCCTTTCAGTGTCACCTATCAGTGCCAGTCAGTGCCACCTATCAATGCCAGTCAGTGCCACCTATCAATGCTGCCAATCAGTGCTACCTATCAGTGCCAGTCAGTGCCGCCTATCAGTGCATATCAGTGCTGCCTATCAGTATCAGTGCCAGTCAGTGCCGCCTATCAGTGCCATATATCAGTGCTGCCTTTCAGTGGCCTTCAGTGATGCCTGTCAATGCCGATCAGTGCCACCTACCAGTGCCTCCTCATCAGTACCACTCAGTACCGCCTATCAGTGCCAGTCAGTGCCACCTATCAGTGCATGTCAGTGCTGCCTATTAGTGCCAGTCAGTGCCGCCTATCAGTGCCATATATGAGTGCTGCCTTTGAGTGGCCTTCAGTGATGCCTGTCAATGCCCATCGGTGCCACCTACCAGTGCCCCCTCATCAGTGCCCATCAGTGCAGCCTATCAGTGCCCATCACTGCAGCCTCATTAGCTCACATCAGTGAAGGAGAAAAATCACTTGTTTACAAAATTTTAAAACAAAAACTAAGAAAAAACATTTTTTTTTTTTTTAACTTTCACTTTTTGGTTTGTTTAGCAAAAAATAAAAAATCCAGAGGTGATTAAATACCACCAAAAGAAAGCTTTATCTGTCTCAAAAAAATGTTAAAAATTTCATATGGGTACAGTGTTGCATGACCACGCAATTGTCATTCAAAGTGCAACAGCACTGAAAGCTGAAAATTGGCCTGGGCAGGAAGGGGGTATAAGTGCCCTGTAGGCGAGGGGTTAAATATTGACTTGTATGAACATTTGGTATTTGTATGGCTGAAGTACAGTTTGGGGGTGGCAGGCAGGTGAGCTAGTGGTGAGTTATGGCACTGAGGGGGCAGTTTGTATTTAAAATTTGGAATCCACCAGCTTTTCCACCATTGGTATATAATTGACACAAAGCGATCATTTGATATCTGTCGCCATTTCTATGTCATTTATATTTTAGCCAGGATTTATCCCGATAGAAATGAACAGTTTTCTGTCTGTACTGCATTCATTGGCTTACGCTCATGTCGAGCTGTCTTGCAAGCAATGAATGATAATTTTCTTGTCATTTATGGCGCTAATAATCAGAAAGCTTGCTCAGCCATGTCTTCCTTTACTGGTTGTTTTTTCTAAATGCAAACCTAGGAGAAAGGGACTGAAATAGGAACAAATCCAAGCATACTTTTTATAGAAGAGGAGAAAAAAAAAAAGGAAGTGTTTCTATGTACATATTATGGAAAGATAAATAGGTAGGCAAGAGTAGCAGCTATATCCAGCAACTTAATAGCCTTGTTTCCATGGTGGTCCTAAACAGTAGAACGAATAAAAGGTCACAGCTGCCTTCCATATTGAATAGGTTTCTCAGCAGGCTTTGGTTTTCTGCCACGGGTTCCAGGCTGGCTTTACACCTATTTGTTGACGTAAGTAAAACACCTTGTCCATGCAAATCACCACGTGCTCCAACAGATCACAATGCACAAATGTAAAGAAGAGGGGCATGTCAGGCCTTTGTACATTGTGGTGTGTTGGCAACCCATTGGAAATGAAAGAGCTGCCTTAATGCAACCTTGTTACCTTGCATACTATAATGCACCTGTTGGCAGTGGTGTATTTAAGTTTTGTGCTGCCCTAGTGTCAGGAATGGACTTGCCAATAATGGTGGGACTCACCTGCCTTGTGGGCTGCAGTACCAGGGCTGGCCAGCGGGTGCTCTCAGCAATCAGAGACTCACCCCTGCAATCAGCCAAACACCTGAAGCTGATTGCAGGGGTTGTATTTAAGGAATGGCCAGACTCACAGTCAGGGCCTTGGTGTGTGTTTTTCCATGGGCCCCTGTACCTTGTATCCTGTATTCCTGTTCCTGTCTGACTTGTTGCCGACCCTGCCTGATCCTGACCTCTGCTGACTTCTCCTGCTTGATCCCTGGCTTGTGACCCTGACCATTCTCTGCCCGACCCTCTGTACCGCGCTGCCCGTGAGTTACTGAACCCAGCTTGTGACCCCGACCACTCTCCTGCCTGTTCCTGGTACGCCGTTTGCCCGTTTGCTACTGACCCGGCCTGCCTGGCTACTCTTTGTATTGTATGTATTGTTATCGGTGGGTGGTTTGGTTTGTTTGCACTGTGTTTATGTTTAGTCTTGCACTGCGTTTTGTATTGTTAGTCTTAATAAATTATATTGTTTATACCATATCTGAAGCCTGCGTTTCCCTGTGTCAGTCCACACACCTCTGGTTATACCTGGAGCCCTGACACCTAGGCAACACAAAAATTGCCCCCCCCCCCCCCACAGAGAGAGACTGGCATTGACCTACAACACCACAGCCCCCCACCCAATAGAGCCTTCCACTACCATTGCCCCCCATACACCAGCCATCATCCCCCATGGTGAGAGAGAGAGAGACACTAACCTTCACAGCTCTGGACATCCCCGGAAACGAGAGTATGCACCGTCATGAAACCTGCAGCCTCTCTTGGAACCCACCAGGTCCCCATGCCACGCTTGTCTCTTCTTCCAAGGGGCAGTGCTGCCCCCCCAAAAAAAATGCCACCCTAGGCAAATTCCTTGTTTGCCTTGTGGTAAATACATCCCTGCCTGTTGGGTGGGTGTGGTGTTGTGCGGTGGCAGAAATCGCACAAAGGCTTGAAATACAATAACGGGTGTATTGAAGGACATGCAAACAGTACAACCACCTGGTGGGAAAGCCCACCTGACCAGGAACTTAGTCAGTGCAGCAGAGAGCAGCAGTAGTAGGCCTAAACTGAACACAGCATCTTCCGAGGGATGTGGACTATGGCCTGGCCGGTCCAACCAAAATGGGAGCGTGCTGATGTCCTGATGAAGGCCCTAAGCTGACCCTACCCCTCCTTGCTGGGGGGGTTTACTGGCTGTAGAAAAAAAAACATAAAAAGCCAAAAACGGCTGCTGTAAAAACGTCCAGTGTGCATGAGGAGAGAAGTACAGAGAGCTGCTATACCTACCTCTCCCTTCCGCTGCCCATTCACATAAGCCGTTGTAGTTTGTGAATGAGTTCACACAATGCAAAGCAGATATACAAACAGCATATGGCGCAAACCTACAGTAAAGAACAGTGTGCAATACAACAATAATTAACATTAGAACAATGTTAAGTCCATATCGTAGGAAGTCCATACACATTGATAAAGTTCATAAAAGCACCTAAAGGCAGCTTCACCAGGAGACCGGAATGTATCTCTACAGAAATAAAAAGGAACACATGGGGGCGCCTCTAAGTGCAGCATTAAAAAATAGTTTAATGAACCATAAAATGTAACGCTCACATTTGTGAAGAATTAAAATAACCATAGGAAGTGTATGGACCGCTGCCACCAGGGGTGGAATGACCATTTGGAAATTCGGTCACTGCCCGAGGGCCCGGGGTCAGTAGGGGGCCCCATGAGATGCCCCTGGTACCTTTTTCATAGGCTTTTTTGAGTTTGGACAAGGGGCCCATTATCCCCTATTGCCCGGGGGCCCCATAAGTTGTCAGTCCGCCCCTGGCTGCCACTTGTCAGGTGTGTTAGTAATGGCTTCCAGGGCAAAATGGAGCCAAGAGATGAACCGGACATCTGTGCTCTACGGAGGACATCGGCTCATCAGAGACTGAGCACATCTGAAAGTGGACCAGACAAAATCTTGCAGCTGGCTGTAGTTTGGAGACCCCGGCTCTACATCAGTGAGATGTGACACTAAATTAAACACTTCCCGACCTCCCTATTGCAAAAAAAAAAGGATGTAAATGTCATTTGGGTGCAGCGTTGCATGACAGTGTAATTGTCAGTCAAAGTAACACAGCGCCGTAACGCAAAAAATGGCCTGGTCAGGAAGGGGGGTAAATCCTCTGGAGGGCAAGTGGTTAAAGAACAAAAGAAGACGCAGCAAGGGGAATGAATCAGGAGAACAGTGCTGGACTTAGAAAGGATGACACAGATGAAGGAAAACATAGTTGGTGTGGCTGTTGGCTGCTCCCCTCTTATGAGTTGCACACATTGAAACTGATTTCCTAAAGAAGTTGACAAATATTCACACCAATTATTCATTCATTTGCAGATAAGATAAACAGTGATTTTGTTTTCGCATGATTGATAATTGGAAATCTTCACACAACTTATTGCGTGAACCTTCTCCACTCCTATATTAAATCGTCCTCATTGATGCTCCCACAATCAAACCTCTCAACATTACCATGGTATCACCTGCATGAGAAGGCACAAACATTTTAATAGCTCATCTCCAGCTTTAATGAACCCTGTACCTTCCCCTCCCCAATGCATGATAAAATATGTTTTCCTTCATAAAATACCCAGTATATATACTTTAACCTCCCTAGCGGTCTGATTATGTCCATATTTCTGTGCTCAAAGTGGTACATTTTTTTTGTATGGAAATATGTCGGTTTTTTTTATTGTAGGCCTGTAATTCTTACGAATAACTCACTGAAATCTGTCCGAACAAGAGTCTAGTAAACATCCCGGGTATGTTAAAATTTTAAACACCAAATCATAAATTATAATATAATAAATAATCATAAAAAAAATAATATAATAATAATAAATTTAATTCAATAATATAATCAAACCAAAAACACTGAAATTTTAAATAGAGCGCCAAGTTCGCACATCACTGAGCAAAGTCGCAGAATCGTTTTCAGTGTCTGATGACGAATTTCCCCCACGAATCATTATCACTCAATTCTGCAAGTAGTTCTGATTTACTATCGCTGTTCTCTAGCCCGTCTAAAACCGCTTTTGACCTAAAGGGACGCTTTTTGGACGCCATGGACATTACTCAGTTTCCAGGCAGAAAGAACAGTAAAAGTGTAGGCAGGGCACAGGACAAAGCACTCGGGACAAAATGTATGTGAAATGGTTTGATACAGGAATGTTTTACTATGGGATTTTAGTGTATTGAGTGAATGTCACTTTTTAAATTTTTTAATTTCCCGCCTTTCTATCCCTGTATGTCCTGACGCTTGCAGGGAATGGAAACCGGGGGACAGATGCTGGCATTGGCCGGAGGAGATGGCCGGGGACGCTGCAGGGGGGACATCATGGGAGCACAGGACAAGGTAAGTGCTGGAGGGATCCCTGAGCAACGCTGCAATGTATTCCCGAGTGTAGCTCGGGGTTAACACTTCTGGTACTATAAGTTAACCCCAAACTACACTCGGGAATACCGACAGGGGGGTTAAAGCCTTGTTTACACAGGGCATTGTAATCTGTGCCCCATGCAAAGCCATGTTTTATCAGGATGTGAATGCACAGGTGTTGCGTGCATCTCCGTGCCAACAGACCCATAGCTATCAAATGGGACACAGCGACTGCATGAACACAGACGCCGCTTCCCATGTGGATGCATTGGGGGCTGTGCATCCACATGGGTGCATTGGGAACAGCGGTTGTGGCAGTGCAGCAGCTGAATATCAATAGACAGTAATGGGGCTGCCGGAACAGGAATGCACGCAACACGTGTGCATCCCCATGCTGGTAAAATATGGCCCTAGCACAGGGCATGGATCACAACGCCTTGTGTGAACGATGCCTAAATCCAAATTTCTTCCCACCAGTCACGTGTCAAGTGGCCTTCCTTGCTGGTGGCCCTTACAGCTGCATATGTAGAGACATATGAGCACCATTCTGTTCAGCAGCATTGAGCAGCCCAGAGTAGTATAAAGATGCATTCCTAAGGGGTTTGTCCATGACACCCCGGGCTCACAGGAAGTGGGATGAATGACTCCGGGTTGAACCAACCCAGAAGAGGGCCAGAGCTGCTCATGGGATCAGTGAGTCCTAAAGTATATATACAAAAAAAGTTCAGCTTTTAATAAAATGACAAATGATTAGTGAAAAAGACTGAAAAATGTGTCATACCAAGAATAGTCCATCAAAAAATTTAGATAAAGAAAAAGTCCCCAGAGGCCGTGAAGAAACAAAGGAAATCCAAGGACAGCTGTTGTGCCACCAACCACTACTACAGAAGGCTAACCAGAAAGGCATGACTCCGATAAGATTGGTCAATCACGCTTTGTTGTAAACAACCCAGAAAGCCAGAGAAGCGGATCCTCCTCCAGATCACTAAGAGAACAAGTAAAGATCCTCCAAGCAATGGACCCTAATTAGGGTAACTACACCACTCTGGATAAGGTTCAGACTCATGTAAAAAAAAGAGTGTTCCACATAGTGTAAAATCATTAGGACAACATTTATTTGAAGTATGGTTGCACTCACATAAAAACAAACATCATTGAGCATTGGTATCTAAATTTTCCAGTTTCCAAACTGGCCGCCGGCCGGTCGCGCATGGACAATAGTGTGTGTGTGTGTGTGTCTCCATCCTACGCGTTTCGTCACAGGTAACATCATCAGGAGTATAAGTTACATATATTATTTTTTGTTGCAGGACCCTGTAAACCATTGGACCGGCGATCAGCATATCGCTGGTGCCATTCAGGTCTCCTGCAGATCTGTCAATATATCTGCTTGTCCATACAGTATGTACGGACAAGCAGATATACTGACAGGAAGACTCAATGAACTACTATGGAGCTCCACAATGCCATGGTAGTTCATTGAGAACTTCAAGCCAACAGCTGATTAAACTGTCGGGACTTGTAGTTTCTCATTCACAGAATACAGTAAATGAGTGACGTGGCCCGGAAGGCGGAGCCTCACACGACCATGTTTTTTTTTATTTGACAGCTAGCAGAGGGGGAAGAAGATCCCCCACTAGCTGTCACAGCACAGGCCGGTCTGATCATAACATGTTACATGTTACACCCTGAATATGGGTGTAACATGTTATAAAAGGTGAACTTATCTTTTAAGGGAGAGAAGGTGAGTAATGCAAGGAAAGCTGTGGTTTAATTTTTCTGAGTGCTGGGGAATATTTTTTTTATTTAAAAAAAAAAAAAAACACCTGGAATTTTGCTTTTAAAGTTTGAAATGGGTCATCCAGTCTTCTCCACCTTCCTCAATGGATTCATTTTGTCCAATTGTTCTTGTGCATAGACATTGTGCATAAAAACAAGGCATATAAATGTTTTGTCAAAGTCCCCAATAAAGGTCAATGTCTCTCTGCCATAAATGGATTTCTTTACTGTCCTTAAAAATATTAAAATAAGAATATTAAAATATTTTTTAGGGGTATGAAACCTGAAAAAAATGAACCTCACCACAAATCTAAGGCTCCATGCACACTGGGCGTTTTAACGCTGGTAACGTTAGCTGTGTAAAGAGTTTTTCAGAGTTTTTTAGCGTTTTTGCATTAGCATTTGCGGCATTTTGACGTGTTTTTTCTGCGTTTGCATTTTTTAGCGTTTTTTTTTTACCAAAATAAAAAATTTTTTTGCTCAAGAAAAGTCCAAAAACGCCGGTTTGCCGTGATTTACCGCATTTTTCAGCATTTGAGTGTTTTTACAGCTAAAAAACTCCTCTAGAAACCCACTAGTTCTGGATTTTTTTTCCAGCCAAAAAACACCTCTGCCAAAAAACGTTGATTAGAGTCTATGTGTGCATGGACAGATAGGATAACATGTTGGGGTGTTTACTAGCTGTAGGAAAAAACGTCTCTTAGATTGTAAGTTCCAAGGAGCAGGGCCCTCCTAACCCTCTTGTATTGAACTGTATTGTTGCTGTATTGTCTCCTGCTATATTGTAAAGCACTGAGCAAACTGTTGATGATATATAAATCCTCTATAATAATAAAAAAGCCAAAAACAGCAGCTGTAAAAATGTCTAGTGTGGATGAGGACTGACAGCGGGCTGATAAAAAAAAAAAACATATTCCCCCCCCTATCCACACAAGCAAAGTGGATGGAGAAATCCTCCTCATTGTGCTATTGTATCCCTATAGCAGGGATTCTTCTGTCACAATGGCTGCAGGCACTGATCAAATAAAAAATTTCCAACATTTCTGTTCCCAGTTGATCATTAGATACCTGCTGAACCAGCCGAATTTTGATCTATGGCCAGGCTTTCAGATGCCAGAGGCTGATCTAAGAGCTGGGGAAACAATTATACGCTCTGCTTTCCTGAATGGAGAAGGGAGGAGGACAGAATATGTAGACAGCTCCCTCTGACACATATCTTGGGAAAACCATAATGATAGAACAAGGTTTTCAAACTTGATGGAACGTTCCCTACCTAGGCCCTAGACAGTTGTCAGCAATGAGTATCTGCCTACTCAGTAAGACTCTATTAAATTCATCAATGAAATCAATCATTTCTAAATTTTCACAACTACAATTTATTTTAGATTTTGCAACCAGTCCTGTAACACAGCCCTTTAAACATTTTTTACTTGACATCTTTAATGCAGTCACCTTTCCCTTGATGGTCCTTCATGGTGGAGACGACCACCTTGCACAGTTCCTCCGCTCTTTGGCTTGTGAAGAACAAGCTGATAGTATACAGTATTTGTGCTGTAAACTTCTCTTGCGCCTTAGGTGGAAAAAAGAATAAATATAATGGATAGACAAGAATTTAGTCCTGTTCTTCTGAAACTGCTTCATTAGGTTGGTGAGGACCTCCAGCCCCTCCACCAGTCCTTCCCCGTTGACCGCACAGCACCCTTGGACGTGCCACTGGTGTCCTTTCATCTTCGTCAGTCCCAGTTCCTCTGCCAGCTCCGTGGGTTTCCTGGCACTTGCGAGATCTTGCTTGTTGGCCATCACCAAGAACGGCACGCCTCTCATTTCATCATGCTCCAGGATAGCTTTGAGCTCTTCCCTGGCTTCCAGGAACCTCTCTGGATCAGCACTGTCCACCACAAAAACCAACCCATCGGTGTTGACATAGTAGTGTTTCCACAGGACTCGAATCTTGTCCTGACCACCCACATCCCAGACAGTAAATGTCACATTACGGATGGGCTCCACAGTCTCAACATTGAATTAGAATGTAACCTCAGCAACCACATTAGGCAGATTTCATTTTATATTATGTATTTCTTCTCATCAGCGGTGTAAATGACTAGCTGTGTAAGGCCTTCTTCTGCCCTACACCCCACCACCCTTTTTTGTGGACCTCTATGCACAGGAGGTTGCCTTCTATCAACATCATAAAAAACAAAGCTTTCCTCTTCGAGGCTTTTTTTTTCTTGCTTTCTTGAATAATCATATGTTCACACGAATGTCCTTTTAATGGTTATGTTCTTTATTGTAATTACTGGACCACAGGGTCCTCCAGCTCCTGACCCAGTCAGTTGATTACAGTTGAATAGCTATTTCCAAACATTTTTCCATTCATCGCTGATAGCCCTTGGCTGTATTTGGCATTTAATTACTTACAATGCATTTCTTATTAGTATCAAAGCATGCCGATCCTGCCCAGCCACCCTCCCCATTTGGCAGCGTAGCTGACATGCTGCTTTGTAAACGTGTCTTTGCAAGTCATAACATTTATCTGCATGGGAATGTCTAAAGAGGTTAATTAAACATTTGCAGAACGGGAAAATTGTACTGTTCAAATTCATTAAACCTTCATTCTCCACGCTCATTATACAACATGTTTCTAGATGTCCACAAATTGTTCCAAGCAATGGAGTAATGCAGTTCTTGAGTGCAAGTGATCAAATGTCACCTCAATATACAGAACAGGAGGCAATATTAAAAACATGGCATTAAGATGTCATATTTGCAAGTTTGGAATTGCCTGGGTGATTATTACATTGTACATTGGGTAGGAATTAATTTGTTTTCCATCTGAAATGCTGTATTATAGTGAATTAACTAATTTAAGTCCTTTATAAAGATAAAGTTTACTTGGCACAACATTTAAAATGAAAACAAGATTTTACATTGAACTGGTATCCATTACTGGATAAATATTAAATGCCACCCGCTTTGCACATTGATAACTAGTGGTAGAGGTGTTTGTGGCATAACTATCAGTTGTCCCCATTTTGAGACCTGAAAAAGAGCAAGACTGGTTGGAAAGGGCATGATTTGACCAAGATTTCCCAAACTGTGGTCAGTCTTATGTAGCACTACCCCCTTAGGAGTCGCTGAAGTTTGGGTCCCCCTATAGTCCTGCAAAGCCAGGCAACACGCATTTCCTTCATTCAGACTTGCATCCAGGTGACAGTGAGCAGTCCTCAAGCTTTGTTTTGAAGTTTTATTAGGGGATTGAACTTGGATGGGGTAAGATGTGTATGGGATGCCCAAGGGAATGGCAACACAGGACAAACTCTTTAGCAACTATGTACAAGTCTTTACAACAAAAATTCTTCTGGAGAGCTAGTCAGAATCTCCTGTAGTACCACCCCAGACACCAGATACTCCTCTATCCAGCTGTACTGGGTGAATCGCTGGGCAGGGAATCCAGTGCCTGTCACTTTAAGAGATAAGACAGTCCTGGGTACCAGCTAATCCAGTTTCCCACTAGAGTGTTCCTTCCCCTTACTGGCCCAGGGGGTACAGGTCTGCTCACTCAGTCCTCTGTCTGTGAGCTGATGGGTTGGTGGCTGCTCTCAGGCCTTCTGCTGGGCCGCTCTTTCCCTGCTGTACAGATGATCCTTACACTGGGGGCCGTTGAGGTCCTGAGCTTTCTTCCTTTCCAGCTTCCCTGCCTGTAATTGAGCCCCTTCCCATCTAGGCTCCCTCCCAGGCTCCTGCTCTCCAGCCTCTCACTTCTCCATCTTCCACCCAAACTCTTCTGCCACTGAGCAGGCTCTCTCACTCTTAAGGGCTGTCCTGACCCCATGCCAAATCTCCTGCTTGGGGATTGGCTAGGATCCCTTGAGAGTGCAGACCAGCCACTACTCCCCCCTCTCACTGCTTCTAGAACCTTCTCCAAAATTCTAGAGCAAGGGGAAGTTCCAGAGAGGTGGCCTGCAGAGCCTCTCAGCTCCGACATGAATTTGACCTCCTTCTGACTATTACCACAGGCTGCTACTCAGCTTCTGCCTAACAATTGGACTCTAGCTCCCCCTAGCTTCCTAGGGGGAGCTAGAGGGCCCTAGGACCACAAAAGCTCACAAATTCAGACCGGGAACAGCAACAAAAGGCGTTAACCCTTTCCTCCCCAACTAGGGCATCCATGCTTACTAGCTTATAGTAGACAACCTGCCTACAAACATGACTGGTGGCCATGTTGACATAAAGTTGGATGACTGAGGGCCAGTAAAAGCTCAGACTCTCCCTAACTATTGGAGTCTATCGCCCCCTAGCTATCTAGGAGGGTGCTACACTTATAACATAATCACTACACTACGTTTGCCATATCTAAGACTATGCAAAGAGAAGCCTGAGAATGACTGATGGGGAGATAACTGCCCATCCTTTATTGATCCTCTTCTCCCTGCCAGGCCATGATAGCAGTGCATGTGTAGTACTTCTGGTCCATGACTCTTTTCTATGGACTATTAAAGGTTAGGGAGTATGGGAATATACAGGCGTACCTCAGTTTACGAACGCCTTGGTTAACGTAATTTTCGGTTTATGATTTTTTTTTTTTCGCAATACGAAGAAAGTTTCCCCAGGATGCATTGCACCTGGGAGGTTTATAAAGGCCCCGTGCCTTTAAAGTGCATTTTATAAAGAGTTTTGAACAGATAAGACTTTTTTTTTTTTTTACTTTTTTCTGATCTCCGGAATGGATTAATTGGTTTTCAATGCATTTACGAATTTTTTTCGCAATACGAAGCAAGTTTCCTCAGGATGAATTGCACCTGGGTGGTTTATAGTGCCGGCCCCGTCCATGCTGGAGCTTGTGGGTAGCACTTGGTGTTGAGTGTGGAGGTGTTGGAGCGGTTTTTGCATTTTGGAGCTATTCTGGAAATTTTTTAATCATGTCCCTGTACAGTATTTATGCCTTTAAAGTGCACTTTATAAATTGTTTTGAACAGATAAAATACTTTTTTTTTTTACTTTTTTCTGACCTCCGGATTGGATTCATTGGTTTTCAATGCTTTCCTATGGGAAACCGTGTTTCGATTTACAAATTTTTCGCAATACGAAACGTCCAGGAGAACGCATTAAAATTGTAAACTGAGGTACTCCTGTACCTGTACTATAGATAGCCTCTAACCACTTGGGGTGTACCTTACAACCCTCAAAGAATATGGTCTGTTGAAAACGCAGCTTGAGGCTCTGGATCTCCCAGCAGGGCTCCCCCAGGCAGTATTTATGATACTTTTTTGTAATGATGACCTATTTCAGGAATTCTTTAGGCCAGGTATGTGAAGCAGCAAGGTCCTCTCGCCTTTTCTCCTGGCTGGGCGGTCTTCAGTATCATCTCTGCAGCATTACACAGTGAATAATAATATAAAGATATAAAAGCGAGCGCTATCCAGACAGCAGCTGAGCACTCAAGGTAACCAACATAAGCCTTATAAACTGAAATGAGTAAACAGTGCAGCGCTAAAACTATGATGAACAGTATAAAATTAAATAAAATAATTAGAGTTCAATGTAAACAGTCTGTGTGATTATAAAGTGCCAGGTGACTGGTAAAATTGGCGGTGCTCCGTGAGAAATGGCAGAATTACGCACTCACCAGATGCGTAATAGTTATACGCATAGAATATCACATCCAGAGGTTTCCTCATCAGATATAGGTCTGGTCAAGGTTAAGGGAATCCTCCCTCAGCGTAGTAGTCATCAGATGCCCAGAATCGGAATTACTCGGATCCAGGTAACCAGAGGTCCCAGAGACGCAGTGCTGGAAATAATTTTGCAGCTAACTCAGTAACTAGAGAAGTGCTACATGAAGAATCCAGTGAACATGTCATTGAAGGGAAATGTATGTTCCTCGCCCTACATTCTGTTTATTTTTTATATATACTCCATTTTGCTTCTCTATTTTATATTTTGTCTAGATAATCAAATGTATAGTTGTGTGTGTGTCAGTTACGTGCTATAGAACTGCAGCCACTCATCCTTTAAATCTAGCTTTGCTCAAGGCATGAAAAGTAACCAATTATTTCTTTGTACTAACAGCACCTGCTTCTGCTATGATATAGTTAAAAGTTAACCACTTCTGCTTTAAGGGAAAATACCGTTGGTTTCTTGTAATTGATTCAAGATCTGTGCGATATGAATTGTTACAGATGTCACGTACATAGCCTTAACAAATTACTCAGTGAAATTCCATTCTATGTTCTCCTGTTACAACTTACCAGGAAATTGTGAATAAAGAATCAGATTGCTCTCTGGAAGACCTGGCGTGCATGTGTATTTATCTTCCTCCCAGAGAGCAGCCTCTTGGATCCAATGGGGGCCTAAACATGCCAGTGGTCATTAAAGAAAAATCCCTTTCAGTCATATTCCAGTCTTCGCAGCTACTACCAACCTACCTGATAGGGAGCCTTTAGGGATCAGGATCACACCAGAGGTTGTATCATGGCCTTGGACGTGTAAAGCTGTGTGTGGCTAACAAACCACTACTCTAGGGGGAGATTTACCAAACCTGGAGAGTGCAAGATCAAAACCATGGTGCTTTAAGGGGGTGGGTAAATGACGCCCTGCACTCACTGTATGTTTCCTGTATTCAGGGTTGAATGACGCTCAGCAACATTTAACTCCCAAAAAACTGACGTAAGCGTGTTAAGGATGTTTCCTCCCCAACTAGGGAATCCATGTGAACTAGCTTACAGTAGGCAACCTGCCTACAAACATGACCGGTGGCCATGTTGACATAAAGTTGGATGTTTGAGGGCCAGTAAAAGCTCAGCTCCACTGCTTATTTTTACCAC